TAGTGGGAAGGGGGTGGCGTTGTAGGGTAACGATAGCGAATAGAAATATTGACAGTGGCGCAAAGAATGGAGTACGGTATGAGACGTAAAGAAAAAAGGGTTCCGTCGCCGGGGGACCACGAGTCCTTACAGCATCAAAGATTGCGACTGATGCCAACGCAGGGAAACTGCTCTCCACAGAGGAACATGATGATGAGGTTTGGAGTTTGGCATGGACCTCGGATGACAAGAAGCTTATCTCCGGATCCCCTGGCTGGATTGGGATATTTAGGATATTCGATACCGTCACGTGACAGAAGGTCTTTCCTGCCAGTCGATGGCCATTACTATGACCACTTCCTTGCGAGTGCTTTTGCACTTTCTTCTTCGATAGAGACCCAGTACACGGGCAACTAATCTTATTACATAAGTTTGTCATCGATATCAACCATTCAGTGTGGTGATAAATCGCGATCCGAGTCCAAAGACGATCTATTCGATGCTACTTTACTTGATGTAAATTATTCGTACTTATACTATAAAATAACCGGTCCGTCTTATAAACATTACCGAGCGGAAGATCCGATTTGCACTCGCATCTTATCCGATGCAAGTTCTGATTCCAACATTCAGTACTAGTGCTTTCTACACCAATTCAACGGTAGTAAGGTTCGTCCACTCTCTAAATTGCGCACTCATCGGTGCGTATCAGATACATACCGGATTCACCAAGTCTTCGTGTTGAATTCTCGTGCGTTAGAGGTATGGGTAACCTCACGCGATCGTCTTTGTGTCCCTACTACGTTCAAGTTCAAGTTGCCCAGCGAGGCGCATATCTAATAACTATTTCCCCACAAGCCTGGCATTGAGGCATTTTCACAATCCTTTGACGAAGTCCATGTATCAACCAACAATTGATGTTTTGATTGTGCTGATCAGTGATATGTATGTCCCACTACATGATCATCGCGCTAGTAAGGCTTCAGGGCGCTAGGCATGCAATATTGCAATGAATACACATGCGCAAGTTAAGCCTATCCATATGATAGTCCCTAACTGTGACCACTAACTGTTACAGGTACGAGAGGCCTTCAATGCAATCCATACTTGAGAGTGGGATGTACGTTAATTGATTCAGACTCAGGGATAGGTAATTGCAACCCATAACAGAATGTTCCTTGCAGAACCCGTTCCCTAGTCATTCGAAAGGATAGTCATAAACATTACAGGCAGTCCCAGATCCAATTCTGCCGACGCGTCCACGAAACCCACTATCACCGGCTTAGGCTCAGCTTTAAGGAGCATCGGTTTCTCCTTCAGCCTTCGCCTTCTCGGCTTGCTCCGCCTCCTTTGGCGGTGTCCCAGGCGTCGAGTTCACTTCTCTTCGGCCTTTTCCACGTCCGTGGTGATGCCTTGACTTTCCTGCTGCTGCTTCTGCGACCATTCTAAATTGGAATGATAACGTTGAGCATTAGTTCACGCGGATCCACTCAGGAGCAGACGCACCGCTCCAGTTCGCGTCTCTCCTCGTCAGTCCCGTCAGGAAGCGTGCTTTTGAATATGTGACCCATGATCATCAAGCCCTGTTAAGGAACAACGCAAATTCACGTCACGTTTAGATGTAGACCCAATTTCCCAGTGACGCACCTTGGCTCGGTTAAACAATGTTAGGTCAGTCGCGTCTTTGTCTTTGAGCACGTTATCGACAACCTTGAATAGGAATAGTTAACTACCGTCGGCCATCCCGCATACCCATGCCTGGGACGTACCTCTCGGAGAACCTGTACGACTTCGAAGCGCGTACCTCGCCAGGATGCTAGCATAATCTAGTGCGCGTTAATTTGTCTCACCCAATTGTACATGAAAATTGCTGGAGCGCACGAACCTTGCCTGTAACATCCTGCTCTAATGCTCGCAGTTCCTCCTCATCAATTTCTCCCTTCGCCTGCAACCGCTCCATCTCGGTCATCAGAGCCTGCACTCCAAGTCTAATCCACATAAGCTATAAACGCGTGAAGAGGACAGGTAGATGAATGACGAACGCGCTTCCGATGACGCCCCACGCGTCTTTTGCCATTGAGCCCTTCTCTTTCATTCGTGACCAGAAACCTGCACTGCGCCAGATAAGTAGTCAATAAGACCAAAAGGTACCACTCACATCCCCAAGAACTTCTTTGACTTCATGAACGACGTCGCCTTCATCATATATACCGTCCCAATTGCATGTAGCAGCTGTTGATTTCCCACTTAGATGGTTGAACATCATAACCTACACCAGCCGCACACACCTCAACCCCGAAGCTCTCAATCTTTAAATCATCTGCTTCAATTTTAATCTTGGCTTCAAATGCCTTGGTTTCCGGGTCGTTCTTGTCGCCAGGTGCTTTGGCATCCACAAAGGGTCGTAGTCGCTCGATAAGCTTGTCAGTCAGCGTCTTCACTCGTTCCTCCATCGAGCGCTTGCGTTCCTCCTCGATCTCCTGAAGCTTCTGCTTCTGTTCTGGCGAGAGCCTATTGCGCTTCTTGTCCTTCTCTTTGCCTTCCTTGCTGGGTGAGGACTTTCCACCGTTAGAAGGGGTCGGGGATGACAAAACGGAATGGCGCTTGGAATCATCGTTACTTGGTCCAGGTGCGGAAACGTGCGGTTCGTGCGAGAGGGCCGGCGGCGAGACGACAATACCCTCTTTCTCAAGCTCTGCACGATCCTCGTCGTTCATTACTGTCTGCGCCACAGACGTCATCTCCTTCATCAAAGATATCTCGCCGATCTGTGGGTATCGTCATACAGTCAATTGTATATTTAAGTGGCAGATGGAGTTGAGATATGAAGATTAAGGTGTAAAGGAGGGAACGACGCACGTAATCTCTGAATCTCTCTCCACCAAATACGTTTGCGAAGAAACCCGCTGCATCTTCTAGCTCTGTACCCTCCTTGTTGGCCTACGCAAACAGACGTCTGAATTCCAATTCTTGTATATTTTGAAAGGTTGGCGTACCATACTCTTCCCATTCTTGTCATATACCGCTCTCAGGTTCTAATTATACATCGGTTTAAACCATCAAAATTGATCAAAGAGGCTTACAGGATCAGATAACACCTGGTATGCTTTACTGCGTCTTATTAGCCCACTGCGATTTCACAAAAGACGAATCACAGACATACCTTATGTCCTTGAACTTCTCTTCCGCGCCATCAGAGGAGTTTTTATCCGGGTGGTACTAAGACAGATAAGCAACATATTTCCGACGCGAGACCAGAGAGGCGGGTGCGCACTTTCATTGCTTGCTTCCTGTAAGCCTTTTTCAAGTCCGTATCGTTGACATCCACGGAAACATCCAGCTACGTTGCTCACGGTCAATGCATCCAATGACAACATGTAGCGTGCTGCGTACCAGGTCATAGTACTCTGTCTCGACTGGTGCCATCTCGGTGATTGGAATTGTATGTGAGCTTGGTGTTCACTGTCTCTATAGGTGTGAATGGTGTCGTGACTGTCGTCTATTAGATGGAAGCGAAAGAAATGCGGAAAGTGAGAAGGGGATGGATCAAACCGAGCTATGACAGTCTTTGGATGTGTCAGTCCGACTGCGCGAATAAGCTCAGCAAGCAGCACAGCCACTTGTGGATAATGATGCAATCAAGCAAACTCAACAGCTACAATCTGAATTGTAGAGGGTAAAATTGCGTTCAGTTTAGACAAAACAGGATGTATGTCCAATAAAAATCGAGTGCTACAATGGGGTAGAATGAAATAATAGTGGTCTCTACCGATCCCTCAGAACAAGGCTGGGTAAACAATGTGTAAATTAATGATATGAAATAGGTAACTAGAGAAGTACTGTTGTGCCCGACATCGAGTCGGATAGTGGTTATGAGTCCTTGACACTTTCATTGTCAAGCGCAAGCACGCTTGTAGAAAATCGCACCGACTTCCGTGGCGTTGTTGGACGCGTTCCCTCACTCCCGCTGCCCGATGATGCCCCTGATTTAATACGCGGGGACATGGGTGTAGAGCGGTAACTGAGCATCAACTTCGACATATGAAACTTTAGGGACAGCAGTGACCGCGCGCCATCGGGTGTCGCGATACTGGTAGAGGCTATCGTAGATGAGGAGGGAGTTGCACCGAGTGATGGAATTGATGTCGGAGGATGACTGTTTACAGTCGTGCTGGCATTGATTTTCTTAAGGGAAGAACGGGAAGGGGGTGGTGGGAGGCTATGCGTGGGACGGTGCGGTGCGGTCGGCTCGTAGGCATTGTGGGGGTGCCGTATGTGCGAGGGTGAAGAAGGTGCAGAATGTGCCTGGTGGCAGGGATTGCGGAGGTGGGGTGTACGAGAGACATGGAGACCCATTGCGATTTGCTCAATGGTAGGGCGAGAAGGGGAGGAGTCTCTGTATCGCGAGTGCATTCGCGGGGGGACATAAGGATCGCGTTCTTCGAGGGTAGAGTACATTCCTATACCACCGCGCTGCGCAACGATAATGGAGTGAATGAGAGACATATGAAGCGGGTAGAAACATTCACTCACTGGGTGGTTCGGATTTCTTTTTCTCGAGGGCATAAGAAGGCTATGGCTGATGGACTTGCGCATTGAAAGGAGAAACCGAGACGCATTTCCACTACGTCGAGGGCTCTGCGGAGGCAACGGAGGGTTATCGGTCGAAGAAGATGACGCAAGTGCGTTCATTGTGAATATGGCTGCTGATACAGGCCAGGCGAGTTGGAATAATGGACTGAGCTCAAGGGTGCGCAGTTAACTGCGAGCTACTGCGAGTATGAGAAATGACTTTGGGTAACACGTGTTGTTGGGGTCAATATTGTTCGTGGTGCTGTACATAAGTATGACTTGTTTGATGTGAAATCATACATGCACTGTGCAGCTGCGCTTCGGAATTGCAGGCCAGGGATTTAAGATGCGGAATTTCACGATATCACGGAAGCTTCGGAAACCTTTTTACATAATTGGGCCAACCGGTACTTCTAGCTATTCACCTTCAAGGAAACCCTCATCTTTATGGCGCTATAGCCAAGTGGTTACGGCGACAGATTAGAAATCTGTTCCTCTTTGAGGGCGCAGGTTCGAATCCTGCTGGCGTCGACGTTGATTTTACTTTTTCTTTCGCTAGCCGATGTCATTTCATCACATCCCTTACAATAATGTTCCTTAGCATATACTTCATTCACGCGCGCGGGACGAAAAATGTAGTTCACTGTCAATGATGTAGAGTACATAAACAACGATATTTTACTCATCAGGCACCTCAATCTCGCCAGAGTTAATACCTTCGATGACATCGTGCGGGGGCTGCCCATCAACTGTGCATCCAACACTTTGAGCCGTCCCAAGGATCTCTTTTACACCACCAGCCAAGTCCTTTGATAGTGACTTGGACTTCATCGTTCGTGCAATCTCAAAAATTTCGTCAAGAGTGACATTGCCCGAGTGCTTGATGTTTTTCTCTTTTTTCCGGTCACGGGGAGGCTCTGAAATCATCGATATAATTAGGGAACCAACACGAAGTCGGGCATACGTACCCTTGAGCGCGCGGATCACAAGAGAGGAAGCAGAAGGAACGACGGAGACTGCTGCTTGCCGATTCTGGATGGTAAGCTGGACAGTCACGCGTAGACCCTTCCACGCAGAGGTAGCCTTGGCGATATCTTCACCGACCTTTTTGGGTGACTGGTGGGACATCAACATCGTGTCCTAGTTCAAACCTTTGCATGGACATACCAGACCCAAAGGACCGATCTTGGGTGCAAGGGCGGACGAAGCACCAACTTCTCCACCTGTTGCCCGGAGGTAGATGATTTTTATTTCATTGGGGTCCTGGAACGCAATTCATGTCAGAAGTCATGCAGAAAATGGGAGACGGACGAGCTTGGGGGCCATGGCGAAGGGTGAGGAGGTCGGTTACAGCGTCTCACGATGACCACAAAAATAAAGTTCAAGCTTCAGAGGTAACTGTACAGTTCTGACAAATAATACACACGTGACCGCCGGGGGTTTTCAAACAACCTCTACCCTGTGAGTGTTCTGAGCTCATCGTCACACAAGCACTTTGAACGCCAGTTCCACACCTTCAGCAATTGCGTGCTGTCATCAAAAATGGTACAGAGGATATGGTTTTGTTCGTGAAATTGTTACAACATGGGCTTTGCCTGAGTAGTGTATAAATCATACAGATCCATGGCAGCCCTCGCAATTTCATCTACGAACTCCTGGTTGGGAACATCCTTCCGCGAGGTGACGGTATATTGCAGACGGTCTGTGTATGCGCATGAGATTACGCCGATTAACCTAAGCTTCCAAGACGCACCGTCGTATCCAGTCATATATGCCACCCCAAAGCCCTCCGGAACGACTTCACCCCATCCGTACGCCGGGAAATGGTCCGAGAAAATAGCACTTGTGCTTAGGACCCAGTTTCCGGAGCGTTTGTACACCGGGTCGCTAAACAGCTCTGGAACTGGCTCGCCTTCTTTCAAGCAAAGCTTCAGTCCTGGTATTTACTCGTCAGAATCGCAAAAAAGTCACGGAGGGGAAAATACTAACCTAACATGTGACGGTCTACTCCTTCTCCGGTTCCCGCTGCCTTCGCAAGTGCAATATGCGTCTTCGCTGCAGCATCGAAAAGTTTTTTCCGATCCTCGGGGCTGACGTGAGGGTCGTCCATCGCACGAATAAAGGTGTCCGATTGTGAAGTGACGACTCTGATCGTCTCCGTCCTGCCTTTCCAGTACTTGCGTGTAGTTGCTGCCTCATATGTCCCACCCTCTCTTTTCAGCCCTCGTGCACGAAGGAGCCTCGCATACGCAAGTTGTATGATCATCTGGGCCCATGAGTCAGGGGATACCCCGAATGTCTTAATGGCGGCCTTGCCATATGGCGTCAGGTGGTATCCCATTGCTTGCGAATCAGCAAGATCATACGCAGCCTTCGATGCCCTGTCGATTGCGCCGCGCGTTGTTTCGTCTACTACGAAATCCAATGGTTCTGGTGTTGGTGGTGGGATGCCATATGGAGACCCGAGGTCAAAATCAGGATCAGCGAGCCAGTCGAGAACCTCATCGCACATGCGGACAGTGGGAGTGCCGTCCATAACGGAGTGCTCGCCCATCAACCCAGCATGTGCGTTGTCAAAAACAATGAACTGGACAGGCTTGTCGACCCAGCGATTCTTGAGACCCGGTACATCAGATGTGGAGGAGGAGAGCGAACCATGCCATAGAGAGCGGCTGAGGGCAATGGGAGTGGTGGGAGTATCAGTGTCAAGGGAGATTAGGAAAGCAGAAGAGTGTATGGTGTGCAAGATGGAGGTATTGCGAGGGTCTGCGGCCAGATGAGCGTGATCCTAACATTGTTCAGGGGTGTCAAGAAGAATGCGCAAACATAGATTTACCTGTGCCCATATGTCACGACTTGATGCGGTCAGAACGCCAACTCCAGGGTATTCGTCCGGAGTAGAGTCGTAAATGTGTTGTATCTGTCTGTAGCAAAGTGAACATCGGGAGCACGCAACAATTAGGAGGGACTCACTTCTCTAACTCAGTCATACTGAGTATTCGCCCATCTACGATGCCCTTAATCTTCCAAAACCTATTCCTCCTCACCACAATGATATACCCCAATTCATCTGCATCGGCACCCGCATGGGAGACGCTCCAGTCAAGTCCCTGCAGGCCGGGTATACGGCAGCAATCAAACATCCATCTATAATACGATTCACAACTAAAGAACATCTCCGGTACCACCACGCACCTATACGTGTCCATACAAAACTCTCCCTCCTTTGTGCGGTCAGACATCATCTGACCGCTCTGTAACTTCTGGCGAAAGACAAGGGCTCCACGTGCAAGGCCAGCAGCACGGGCCGCAGGTGTTTGAGGAAGGTGGGCGGGTTGCTCGTCAAAGCCGTCTATAAATTATCAGGCAATGAGAATGAAGCACTGCAACATAACTCACAGTAATATGACACGTTCACCACAACCTGCGAAATCGTCAATGAAATATCATGGATAGTGGAGGTGGGCATACTGAATCTCGATAACCCAGGTAGCCCAGATTATCCCACCACTCCTCGAGCCAGTGCTCGCGTTCATTTGCACGTTCAAGGAGACGAGACTGTAATGTTGTCCCTAAGCCTGCATGCGATCCCAATGCGTCAATCTTCCTCGAAACATCAGCAAATTCAGCTTCCGAATGTGCCAATGGCAACAACGAGGTCTTCAGTCGCTCGAGGGTAGCGCTGAGATCTGGAACAGGTAAACGAGGTAGATAGGCACGTTGGGCCACAAAGTTAGGTATCGGAGGGGCAGCTGCTTTCCAATTCAGTGGACGTGGACCGGTGAGAGATGGCATATTATGGATCTTTCTATGTGATCTCGGATGGACTGTGGAGAGAAAGCGCCTAGTAGTGAGCATAACTAAGTCTGAGATACTTACGGGCTGAAGACTATTTGAACCTGACGATCGGAAGCAAATCGAATATCACGAGTGTTCAAGTTGTGACGGTTGTTGGACTTGACCGGCTTTTAACTGTAGCCGGACCGGACTACTGTCGAGATTCCTGGAGGCGCTCTCTGAGACTCAATGCATCCTGATCCTCAACGACAATTCAACAATCCAATTGCACCGATACTATAATCATACTTCACCCATTAGTACGTAGATCTTACATCTAAAACTTGGTTCGCTCAATAACTGCTTTTTGAGCGAACGTGTTTGGTTTAGGTCAGGATTTCATTTCGTAAATACTTGTTTTGGTTAACTTGGAGTCTCTTCCACCAATCAAATACTGTCGCTTGCCAGTATTTGCTGTAAAGAAGCGTTTGCTTCAGTGCTTTTCCTGATGCCTAGGCAGGTTTCTTACTAAGTACATACGTCTGTCGTATGGTACGTGGCACCAGTGTTTTCAGTGACTCATCTGCATCAACGGCAGGGAATTCAAATTTCAAACCCTATTGACCCCAGGCTGCACTAGATCGTAGGGCGAAGATCACTTACGGTCGATCATCAGGCGCCTTGTCAATGTTAGCGCGCACCTACACCATCAATGGTGTGCCGTCGACATTTTCCTTTCATTCAAACTACTCTGTGGAATCTATAAGACGAGGTCCCAGCTTCAATGTTTATGTTCGAGTTGCCATCGCGGACATAGAGATACTTATATGTGCCTAGGGTAGCTTGGGGCAGGTGGTCTATCCATAGCAATGACAGAATGCAGCGAGTTTCCATCAGCAGTATTATGTGTTCGTAGGAAGTGTAGGAAGTCATTCGCAGAGTTAAAGTAGATTTCATCAAAATTATTGGCTGGGTACGGTTCCCGCAAGCCCCCATGCATATTAAACAACATACTATATTACAAACATGGCCTTTGCTTGAGCAACGTACAATCGTACAGATCCATTGCAGCCCTGGCAATCTCATCTACGAACTCCTAAATCCTTCCGTGAGGTTATGCAGACGGTCTGTGTATGTATGAAATAGGGCCCACCATCGTATTCAGTCATATATACCACCTCAAGGCAGTCCGAGGCGACTACACCCAATCCGTACAAAGGGAAATGGTCAGAGAAAATAGCACTTGTGATCAGGGCCCAGTGGCCGGAACGATCATACAATGGGTCACCGAACAGCTCTGGAACTGGCTCGCCTTCTTTCAGGTAAAATCTCAATCCTGGGATTTAATCGTCAGCATTTCAGAAAAAAAAATCCAAAAAAGTCAAAGAGCGGACAACGCTGACCTAGCAAGCGACGATCCATTCCTTCTCCGTTCCCTGCTGCCTTGATAAGTGCAGTGTGCATCTTCACAGCGAAATCGAAAAGGTTTTTATCGGCTAACATGAGGGTCGTCCACCGCACGAATAAAGGCGTCCGATTGTGAAGTGACGACTCTGATCGTCTCCGTCCGGCCTTTCCAGTACTTACGTGTACTCTCTCTCTCACATGTCCCTCTCACCTTCTTCAGCCCTCCGTTCACGGAGGAGGCGCGTGTACGCAGGCTGGATAATCATCTAGGCCCATGGGTCAGGAGACACCCTGAATGCTTTAATGGCGGCCTTGTCATATGATGTCAGGTGGTATCTCCTTGTTTG